CTATGCAATTAAGTATATAAAAACTAGAATTTCGTTTTCTGAACCCAACCCAAGCCATCTTTTTTCTCAAGCACGTAGAAAAAGGTTTCCTTAAGAGGTAAAACCTAATTTATTCAGTATGTGTCTGTATCATCTGCTCAGTATAGCTGGTGATGGTTAGTATTTTTAAGAGCTACTTTTATACCACCACATAATAGAAATTACTACAGATGCAATTTTAACCAAATGTTAAAGAAACCAAAAATAAGAATGCAACTCCTTTTATTCTGAGCAAGCCTCCTACTGAAAGGCTGCTGAACTGCACGCATCCCAGCACTATGCTTAAAAAAAAAAAAAAGCCTTCTTAGGTAGCACATTCAGAAGTACTTTACTTTTGAACAAAATAATTTTCTCTTTTTTAAAGACTTTGTGTATTTGAAGAAATTTAGAAACCCAAAATAACTGTCACCAAGACCGGCAATATCTGCACCAGGACAGTAACAACATAAACACAAGTCCTGATCCAGTCGAATACTTTGATTTAGGTGTTTTGCCAATAATAGTCCTGAAGTGTTTCCTCCCAGCAAGATGCTGCCTTAATAGGCACGTTCTTTTTCTCTTGATTTTTAACAGGCTTATTCTATTTTCAATAACACAGAATCACGGAATGGTTTGGGTTGGAAGGGACCTTAAAGATCATCTAGTTCCAACCCCCCTGCCATGGGCAGGGACACAGTATTAATATATTTAAGTAATACTGCTTACCTTGAGATGTCCCCCCAGTACCACTCTGCTTCCTGCAGAGAGAAGCTGGAACTGTCCTTTATTCCATTCGTATTGACTGGAGTCATTGGTTTGGGGGGCTTTGGAGGAAGAGCTGAAAATGAAGAACAGATTAAAGAAAGGTGAACAGGGACAATAATCACTAAACTGTTCATGAGACAGTGCAGTGAAAAGGCAAGAGAAAATGTGCATCTTGAACTTGGATTTCAAACTCTCCCAAAGTAAATGGAATTCGTAACTTTTAAAGAATTCTGAAGTCAACAGCTGCGCTGTGATCCCTCATTTCCTAGTACTCAAACCAAACACATGCTTGAGGGAGGGCAAAGGGAAGGAGTATGAGTTTTCGCTAAAAGGAAGACTGGCTCAGGCATGGCTGCAAGGGCAATCACGGCCTAAACCTCCACCCAAGTTACAAAGGTGTATTGTGTCTGAAACCACAGCCTGGAGAGCAACGTGCACCGCTGCGGAAAACCTTCAGGCGCTCGGGCGTCACCAGTCCTTACGCCAACCCTGAAGAGCAAACGGGTGGGCTCTTCTACAGAGGGAAAGACACTGCCAGGGAGAGACGTGGTAGCTGGGCAGTGGCATACCCATCGTAGACCCACGGCTCACATTTCATACTGCATGTGTCATTCAGGCTCCTGTTAGGAGCAAAAGTTATGGCTCTTTGAATACTACAGGACATGAGGTGAGAAAGGAAGGTGAGAGGGGATATAAGGTCATTATTAGAGTGCCTGCACCACTCGACACAGCTGAAGTGTTTACCACTGGAAAGGGGATGCTACAAACCCCCAAAAGACAGGAGAACTGCACATCTGTGGGTCTAGAGCATATCCGCCCAGAACTCCCCTATTCTGAATTCAAGGCAGGCAGGCTTTTACTTCTGTCCTCCGAACAGGTTACACAATGTAAGGGCACACAACCCACTCAAGCTCTTTATTTGGTCAGTTTTTGCTCAAACAACTTCAGCCTGGTCTTGAATGCAAGCCCTGCGTCAGGAGTCATTCAGCAGCCGCAGGCATGCTCATGTACTGGCAGAGATTTGTCTGTCAGCAGAAATTCATGACACTATTTTCTTTGAGAAAGATGTCTTGAGTGCTCTCCCCTGCTTTGCAGAGGCCGAACGCTTCATCAAGAACATGACCACTGAAACTGAGCATTTTTCAGGCCCTTCATGAGACTGTGTGTTTTACAGGCGCAGGTAACATTTGAATTCAGGGTAAGAAAGCAGCTGATTTGCTACCAGCAAATTTTTAAGTCAGACCCTGAACATCTGTGCTCCCAGCCCTATGCCCTAGCCACCGGATTACACTAGGATCGGCGAGCAGAGCTGACACACGCTGACAACAGGCATCTTTCAGCCACACGCAATCCCGGTGTACAAGCAGAAATACAAATAAAGGGAGCAGAAAGGAGATTTTGATCTCTAGCTCCAGTGCGGAATGGCTTAACACTGAGAGGTGTGCTACTTGGCACCATCCATCCGCTCACCTCCGAGCTGCACCTCCCACATGAAAGAAGAGAAAACAGTGTTCCAACTGCAGTTCCAAATAGCATTTCATGTTGAGTATCAGACACAGTAGCTTCACTGTTCTCAGACAAACTAGTAGAATCTTTAATCGAGCCAATCTAAACTAAATCTGAACCTTGACCCAGACGTTTGCACCCTGGGGTTGCTGACCAAACACCTGATTCAGATAGCAGCATTCATTCTGTGGGACTGAGCATAAAACCACAGCATACAGGTTCTTTTTATGGGGTGAGCTGGGAACTTTCAGGTGTGCAGATATCTAGTAAGGCAATAACAGGTCTTGTTATAAAAGGAAGGTGAAAACCTTTGGATTCAGTGAAGTAGCTTCCTGGTTAGGAGGCTTCAGTTACTCCTAGCTCAACTACAGTTGTTTGTACAGCACTTAAGTATTTGCACAAAGCACCATTAAGAGTAAGACACAGTTCTAACCCTACTTTGGTTCAAGATCCCAGCCGTATCGCACTTTTGGGGGGTCAGAGGAGCATATATCCAGGCTAAGCCCGTAGAATCAACTGTATTTACTGTGCCCTGTGTGGCTCCATCTCTCCCACGCATCGCTCCTCCATCAGCAAACATCTTCAGGTCTCCCCAGCATCCCACCGCACATCCGGGCTCTGCAGCCCTACACACTCTAAGCCAGCAACAGGACACACACAGCAGTTTCGAGTCTCATCGGCATCTGCACACGGCAGTAAATCTGAGTTCAGAAAACCTGTAGATGTTCTGATCTACTCCAGAATCTTTTGTAGCTTCCGAGCCACTGACAAGCGCATGAAGATTCATGTAAAAACACACATTGAGAATTCTTGGAAAACTATACCAGCACCAGCAATTATTTCATTGGGTCTTGCAAGTTAAGGCTTGGACATCTCAAAAACTTCAAGGTATTTTACAGTGTAAAATCCTGTTTTACACTGCTAATAGGGGCTTTCCAGAAGAGGCTTTCAAGTATCCTCTAGAGTACTTCTAGAGCACTCCTCTCGCCCTTCTTGTAAGATTAAGTCTTGCTCCTTTATACACTGTGGAATTATTTAGCAGCTTTGTCAGGGCTCAGGCTAAAGCACTGGGCACAGAAAAGCAAACTAACAAAGACTGGAAAGGTAAGGAATATGGTTTTGCATATGGACACAGGGCACTAGACATTACACCAAGTCTCTTTGTTACAGGTGGGGGGGGTTTCCTTCTTTCCCTTAATAGGCAGGTATCAGTTCTCACTGTCAGGGGGTTGTCTGCACAACTTTGTTCTGCATGAGAAAACTGGAAGGAAATTCTTTTAGGGAGAAGAATAAGGTTTGGACCAGTTCCTGTAAAACCTGACTCATGGAAGCCAGTCCTTTTCACAATAGACTTTTGAAAAATGCTTTTTAATAGCTTGCACATTTTAAAAATACAAAAGTATTTGCAAGGGTGGATCCTGTTTCCAGAGAGCTATGGATCTAATTCTTTACTTTCAATACTTTGAACTCTGAGTCATAATAGATTTTCCCCTGTCTTGGATACAGAGCCAGACCCTTGCTATTGCTTTACCCAGTAGACTAACGTGCCCATCCATTTCAGTGTTTCTTGGCTGCCCTCTCAGCCTGGTGTGACTGTAGTCTGTACAGAGAACTGAGCTCGAAGGTAGCTTAAACCCCACTGCCCAGAACTTGTGATGCCACAAGAGGAGCATTTTTTTAACAGCATGGCAAGTCTACTGTAACAGAGCAGCATCCACCCAACTCCTATTCTCATAACACTGCCACAATGGGTTGCCAGAAGAGGCACCCCAAAAGAGGTTTTACTGGTACCTAGGCAATACTAACCACCCTGCTAGCAGAAATCCTGTGATGGTTCTATGAGACATTACAAAGACCCTTAGAGTCTACAGATTTTAATTTCAATTGAAAGAAATCTGGTTTCATATACCTTACTTGATAAGCTAAAATCCTACAGTAAAGTAGAATTAGGCTGACTTGAAGTCAACAGAAATGCTTTCAAGAGCAGCCGTGTTTCTTTCCATGTCACTGAGTCTAATTCTGATCTAGCCACAGGCACAATCTTACTTTATCTCAAAACAAGTTCTCATTAGAGTGAACGATCCTGATAGTTTCTTGCCTCCTTTCTCCTGGGAGAGAAAGAACATTGATCTCAAGTGATTAACAGCACAATGGATCTATCTGTTCTAATAAAGAACTTGCTGTTAGCACCAGATACACAAGCATCCTTCCCTTACCATGTCTCCAGCTCAGCTTTAGGCAGAGATGCCTTACCCAAAAGGCAACAGCTCAGCTGGACCCTTCCATTCCTGCATGGGTGTATTCCCAAGAGCAGGCTCAGCTCTCCGTGACTGCCTGACACGCAGTGAGGAGAGCAGACTGGCTCTCCCTCACGCTCTAGCGTGCATCACTGTTTTTTCTTTAGCACTTCCAGTCCCCTCTTCCTAGCTTCCCCAAGCAGCCCAGCTCGAGCTAAATCCCAATCCCAAATCAGTGTGAGTTAGAAGGGGGGGAAATAGAAACAAGCTGGGGATGGAGCGGAGGCGGCAGCAGCCAATGCTGGCCAGGCCAGGATCGGATGTTGCTGACGTCAAGGCGTGAAGGCTGCCGTGCCGGCTCCCGCAGGTAGCTTCAGCCGAGCTGCTCCGCAGAGCTGCGGCACAGCTCCTGAGAGGGAACAGCCTATTGATTAGGCTTCACCAAGGTAATTCTTTGGATGCTTTCTTGACTGCAAAAAATTGCTTTTTAAAAGGCTACTCAAGATTTAACTGAATTGATTCCCTGAAATTCAAACCACCTCCAACTCCAAGACAACCAAGAAAGCTGGCAAGTGTCTGAAGTTTAGCACTGTGATTTTTTTTTTTTAAATTAAAGTTTCTTGTAGAGAATAGTAACCTGTATTAAACCCAAGTTTAACTTCAGCAAGGTACACCATCACTTTCATGAGCTACACACTTTTCCCAGTCAGGTTTCGAATCAAAAACTTCACAAGTTTACACGATCTAAGAGCCACGGAGCCCTAAGTGCGAGGGTTTTCAATGGCACTAATCCAGGAGAAGTGAAAGAAGAAGAATGCCTCGGGTCTCCAAGTGCTACACCCCACACAGCATCCAGTCAGGCAGCCTGTTTCTTCTCTGGCTGCACTCTTAGTGCACAAGATAAACCTGCCAGTTAATTAACTCTAATTTGCAGTTTTAAGGCAGATGCCAATTAGTCTAAGAATAGCTCCATAACTTATTTCTTCCAGTGTTTTCCAAGAGCTGCAGGCCAGATACTGAAAAGCATGGCAGGTTTAAATGCAGCATTACCTCTGTCTTACCGTTATAAGTAATCACAACTACCAACAACTCTGCTGAAGTCAAGTTTAAGTTGCTCAGCACTTCCACGAGTTTGTTCACTAGCCTTCTTTCTGATTCTCTCAATCTACTCTCCTTCCCCGTTGTGACAAGGAGAAAACAGATCAAGGCGTTTCCAGCATAGTTACCCAGTTTCAAAAAGGCTGACGTCCAGCAGACACCCTACGAACTGTAACATAAAGCTTTAGAAAGTGTCATTACTACGGCAACATGAGAGTAATCCACACTTAGG